AAGTGCCCAAACCCACAAACTGACTCTTTCCCACCCAGGTTGTTGAGCTGCTGAAGGTTTTCAGCGCTGAACAGGCAGGGGTCTGTGCTAAAAGACAGAGGTGTTTTCTGGGATCAGCACACTCCAGGGATCCAGGACCTCTCTGTCCCTCACCTGCTCTGGCTTCCAAGCCACGTCACCCTGTCCCAGGCCACTGACTCCTCCCACAAACTGCTGCACCACCAGTGAAGACATTCACGAGATTAAGGAACCAACGTGCCCTTCCCTGATAAGAGATTCCAGGAAATCCTGACATGGCAAGTGCATCATGAATACTGCCCAAGAAAAAGGCAATAAAAGACTTCATTTCCTCTGAAGCTGAAGGAAAAAAGCTGCACTGCAAAACACTTGGTTTGCTTGGCTTTCCAGGAGGCACAGCTGCCACTGCCACCAGAACAGCCCCGTTCTGCCCCCACATGACCTTCAAAATGCTCCTCAGGCCTGGCTACTGCTGAGAACCCTACACAGCCACCACCCTGGGCTATTCCAAAGGCCACAGACACAAAAACTTCACTTCAGCATGAAAATCAAGGGGAACTGGCAGCAAGGTCCAACCTGCCCTCACTAATTCCAAACTCCAGCGTGCTTCAGGTACTCCCATTGCTCTGCTATAGAACCAGCTGCTCAAGAGTTGAGTTTTGGGGCCTGAACAAGTGGAGAAGTCCTCAAAAGGGAAAGGGAAACACAGAATATTATGGGATGGGTCAGCAAGTCAGCTCCATCTCTTAGGGATTCTGTGCTGTAGAGCTTTGATAAGTGTAAGTAATTTGAGCAGCAAGACAAAATAAATTTTCTCAGCTGGGACTGATAATTAAAAGCAAGAGAGAAGTGCAGCTCAGGAACAGTTCCATTTCTTGATATTCATTTTGTTAGGGGGATAATTACATCATCTTATCATTAGATTGGATATTAGGAAGAAATTCCTCCCTGTGAGGGTGGGGAGGCTCTGGCACAGGTTTCCCAGAGAAGCTGTGGCTGCCCCATCCCTGGAAGTGTCCAAAGCCAGGCTGGATGAGGGATAGTGGAAAGTGTCCCTGCCCATGGCAGGTGGCACTGGATATCTTAGAGGTCCCCTCCAACAAAAACCATTCTGGGATTCTATGATTTATATATATATATATATATATATATATATATATATATATATATATACATACATAAATTGCGTCCACTATTGATGGCAGAAGTTAAAGTAGATGTTTTTCACTTGCCTCTTTTGCACCGTCTTTGGAATTTTCCTTCTCTTCTTGATCTAGGGAATAATTAAGAACGAGGTAAGTTTGTGCATTTGGAAAAAAAAAAGGAATTTCAGAGAGAAGCTTTTCTGGTTTGTGTATTTGCTGGTGCTTTATACACTGCACACTTGCAGGTGCAAAAGAGGAAAGAAAGGAAATAACCAGCGATCTGGGGCCCACAGCAAACAGAGCAAAATACACCTCAGTTCATCACAAAACCACCTGGAGCTGACAGGACAGGCCAAATCCAGCCCTGACACCAAGGCAGGGCTGCAGAACACGTCACTGCAGCTGTTTGGGAAGGGTGGGAATTGGACAGGAAACAGGCAGGTGCTTTGGAAACACACCTGGTTCTGACAACGGGTTCTTCATTATCATATTCCCCAGGTAGTACTCTTGGATGTTTATTTTCTACAATCAAAACAAACATCAGTTACCACTTTCTAAGTTATTTCAAGGAATTCCATGTTGCAAATAGATAAAAGAAATTATAAAAGAAAGGTCTTATGAAATCAGGCCTTGCTCTGCTAAAGTGCCAAAGCTAGTCTGTCACTTCTAAGTGCAGACAGCCTACAAGTTCTCATACAAAATAATTTTGGGAACGAGAGTTCATTAACACAACAATCTACTTCTAGGATGAAGAACAAATGGAATCTGTAATAACAAGAGATCTGTCTCATAAGAATCAGTAAAAAAGTATGTAAACTAACTAAAAACACAGAAGTTTAACAGACATGCAAAATACCACGTACTGAGCAATGAACTAAGAGTGTATTGCCAACCAGTAAGATCTGACACAGTGCCTTCTGATAATCCTATAAAAATATGTCCTGTACAGTAAAGATGCAGTTTTTCTGCATGAGGAAAATGGAATCATGGCTAAATTATTACAGAAACTCAAGTCTGCCGGAGGAGTTCAGCAGTGCCAGTGGGAAGGGGGTAGTGAGCAGCCTACCTGCCCCGTTTCCTTCTCCTCATGGTACTGACGGATGTGCTTCCCATGGCACACCTCGTAAGTCCAGTAGGATTCAATCTGAGAAATAAAATACATTTAAAAAATTATCTTTAGATGTATTTACACACCACAAAACCACCAAATGTTGGCTTTTGCAGCAAAATGCTGGAGCACCCTCAAAAACAAGAGCACAGTGAGTGGTCTCAGTGTTGCCCAAACAAGCACACCAGAGAAGACTTCCTTGACTTTCACACAAATAAAACAAAGGAAAAAATTAATTTTTTATAAAAAAATCCATATTTTAACTGCTATCATAGCAACCCATTTATCTGAATTCTGACATCTTCAATCACACAGAATTTTGTCAGCAATATTAAGGCATAAAGTTGTAAAGACCGTGTTTCAGACTGTATTAGTATTTAATTTACTACCCTAAAACCTTGACATGCACTGGCCTGTAACCTTTTAACTGGCATTTAATGAACAGGACAAAAGTAACATACTCTATAGGAACAGCTGCTTTGCTTAAAGAGAGGCTCCAGCAATTCCCCCGGAGTAGGACCTTTATAGTCCTTTTCTTCTTCCTGCAACAAAAGGATATCTCATTATATTGAAACTGTCAGTGTAAAGACTCAGCTACAGATTATATTTACAGAATAACTCCCGAACTCACCTCATTGCCACTGGCTATCAATGGCAGGAGACACTTGTACTTCTCTTTATCCACAGTGGTCATAATGATATAATTGTCCTCCTTGTACAAGACACCGGTGGTCGGCTGAGAAAACAACCAACCCATGGATCAGCCAGGCAGAGGCTTTTTAATGCTACTCACCAGAAACACCCCTGAATTCCTGAGCGGTGCTTCAGAGTATTTCCTGGGATTTAATTACACCACAAGGCTCGAGTTGGGTGGTGTAGCTGGCTGGGAGCTGCTTGCTGCTGCCTTCGCTTTGGACCTTCTACTTCTACCTATTCCCTGATCCCCTCCAGATCCCCAATCCCTTCCAGATCTCTGATCCCCTCCAGATCCCTGATCCTCTCCAGATGCCCGATTCCTTCCAGATCTCCGATCCCATCCAGATCCCCAACCCCTTCCAGATGCCCGATTCCCTCCAGATCCCTAAATCCCTCCATGCCCCCTCACTCCAGCTCTCCCATTTCAGACCATTACAGCCCCCAGCCCCAGCCATCCGCCCTTCACCCCCAGCTCTCCCCCGGCCGCTGTCGGCACAGAATCCCCCGGGATTCTCTCTCTCCCAGCTGCCAGGCTCCCTCCGCCGGCGGGCCAGCCCCACCCGAGCCCCCCTGAGCGCCGAAGCGGCTCCGAGCCCCTCTGCGGTGAGGGGGGAGCTCACCAGGCTGAGCTCGGTGCCGGGCCAGTTCACCCTGAACGGGATATCGTCGCTGAGTTGCGGCAGCGCCCGGCCGCCCTCGGCCACGGCGGCCACGGCCGCCAGGAGCCCGCAGAGCAGCGCCGGGGCCGGGCAGGGCGGCCGCAGCTCGCAGCCCCTCCGCGGGGCCGGGGCCGGGCTCGGCAGCCGCAGCCCGCAGCCCCTCATGCCGGCCGGCGGCTCCGCCGAGGCCGCGCCGCGCCGCCGCCACGTCGGCTTCCGGCAGCCGCGATCAACAACCGGGGCAGCGCCCGGCGGCAGCAGCGGCATCCGGGGCAGCGCTCGCGCCGCAGGTGAGGGGCCGGGCGGGCACGGAGAGAGCCCAGGACCGGGGTGAGGGGTGGGGGAGTGATGGAAGTGAGTGATGGAAGTAAGTCAGTGAGTGAGTGAGTGATGGCAGTGAGTAAAAGTGTGAGGGAGTGAGGAATTTGAATGAGGAGTGTAAGTGAGGGAATGAGTGTGAGGGAGGAGTGTGAGGGAGGCAGGAGTGTGAATGAGGGAATGAGCGAGCGAGGGGTAAAATGGGAGCGAGTAAGAGTAGACAGTAGGGGGGAATGGGATGTAATTAACTTTGGTCATCAGTGGCAGCGTTGAGGGTTAAATATAAACAACAGGTACGAGGTTGTGAGTGTAAAAGAGCACTTCAAGGGCTCCTCTGTTTGTTTCTCTATACACCCGTGTGTGTATATATATGTGCGTGGGTATCTATACACCTGAGAACCCAAACAGTCCTCACATCAGAGCAGGTTAGACAAGTCCCATCTGACCCATGGGAAACATGGAGCAGATAAATAATTGAAGGATGTGAGAGTGAGAAATTAATAGGCCATGCTACAAAGAATGACCTTATTACAGAGCCTTAGAGTTATTCTGGTTGGAAAATACCTTGGAGATGATGGAGTCCAACCCTTACGTCTGGATTTCCCTCTCCCTCCTCTCTGCATTATCTCCTGTAAATAGTCATGGATGTGCCTGTTGTTTCCCCAGACACTGTTTGAGAACAGGTTTAGCAGTGTCTTTGTGTGCGTGGTTGTGTAGTGAAGCCTACAGATATGAATCTGTATTTGCATAAATAGACACTGAGTTTAACCAGTCAGGAGAAAAATTAAGCCTAAATGGCCTAAAATTTTAAAGGTAGCAGATCTGGGAGGCTTTTGGTAGGGACCAAAGCTGGGGGCAGAGCAGTGGCTTTAATCCCACACAGCAAAAACAAATGCATCTATATTTCCCATGCTTTAATTAATTCCTAATGTGCCACAGTTTGTACGTGTGTTGTCACTCTCAATCTCAACAGCAATTTTATAGCGAGGCACAACGAACACACCCCTTGATGTCCACCCTCACACAGACACACTTCAGACATAACATTTCTGGAAATTTCCAGCCCCGTTATTCATTGTAATGCTTTTTTATTGCACTGAAGTCATACACAGGAACGTGTATTATTGCAATGGTTTATGCACTTAAGAAGCAAAGTACCAACAAAATCTTGGAGGCAAAGACAGAGAATGTGGAGCTACACAGAATCACAGTACTTAAATAATTAGCATTTTAAAGGGAGAATCAGCCCTGATGGTTCTGAATCCCCTGCCCTCTTTTAAGGAACAAGGATAAGTCTTTGAGGAAAGAATTTTTAAATCTAAAATGAATTTTCAAGAAAGCAGAGAATGCCATTGCACACTTTTACCTTCACAAATATAAACCAGGAAGATGTAAAGAACAGAAAAGGTCAACCTTTTTAGGGGAAAACCACACTTTTTTTGCAATTACTGATGCAGAATCCAGGCTTCCAGGCTGCTACTAAACACTTACACATTCCCTGGATGGGAAAACAGGATGTTACGTGGTGTTTGAAACAGGACCTTTTATATTAATATATAAAAATATACTCGGTTAGAAGTTAGTAAAAATAAAGTTTTGAGGAGCAAGACAAGTCCATGTTGGGACGGATTGCATCAGGAAGCCTACCAGCCTAAACTGGGGGCTTCCCAACCCTCTTGGGATGTCCAAACACACCCCTAAGGTTGCTGGAGAGAGGGTTCCTTCCTTAATTTTGTCTCTGGGAACCTCCCAGAGGGTTCCTTCTGTTGGTGAATCCTTGAAACTAAAACCTGTCCTTGCAGCTGGGATCTTTGAAGAGATGGGGGCCACAACAGCACACCTGAAGTAACAAGAGATGAAAGTTTCTCTTCTTGCTGTGTTAGACTTCAAGTCATGCTCTTAGTTAATTTTAATGTTTTGGGGTTATTTATATTAGGATTAAAAATTAAAACGAGGCACTGACAGGTTATGGCTTGTTTGAGTCAGAGCGCCCAGAGCTTTGGTTTTCAGGGCTTGACATCAGCAGCCAAGGGAAGGAATGATCTCCTTTACAATAAAATGGTTTATCCTCTGCATTTAAGGATAAATTAACATCTAAAGGGTGAGATGACTAATTCAGTAGCATAACTTTATTTCAGAGGAGTTGAATGTTGATATAAAAGTTCTACTACACAATTTAGGCCAACCACTTAAAAGTCCTGCACTGTGGTGTGGGATCAGAACAAACTATCACTTAAATCTAAGGAACTTGTCTCTGCATTTTGACCTCAAAAATATTCTAAAGATGTATTTTAAACCTGAAATAATAATGAAACATAAAGAGAAGTTTGGGTGGTTGTCTTGAGGGGTAGTTTTGGATGAAAAGCTGAGATACCAATTTGAACTTAGAAGATTTTTGTTGCTCTCCTTTCTTGAGAAAGAATGGGAGAATGATTTTGGCAGTTTTAAGTAATCAACTCCTACTCTGAACGCAGCATTAATTAAGATATGCAGCACTAATTAGGACAGCACAATGCAGAGGAGCATTCCTCCCGGGGGCCAGAACACCAGAACCAGGCCTGTTTTGAGGTCACTTCACAGACAGTTGAGATTTTGGTGCTTGCTCAAGAGCTCCTTGACCAGTGTCTCTAAGGAGAAGAGGTGCTCGTCCACGTCCTCGGGCACGAGGTTCCTGATGGAGTTGGCCAGCTCGAACAGGTACTCGGTGTTGCGGCCGCTGGGCCCGGCGGCGCCAAGGATCTGGCGCGCGATGTCCTCGAGCGGCGCGGGGCCCAGGTAGTTGGGGTTGTCGCGCGTGCCGATGTAGAGCAGCACGTCGAAGGGCTGCACCGACGCGTCCTTGGGGTAGAAGATCACCGTGGTGGTCCTGTAGCCGCCCTTCTCCCGGAAATCCAGGTAGGCCTTCACCTCTCCTTCCTTCCCAGCCGGCAGCCGGTAGGCGACGCCCCACACGCAGCCCTGCGCGAGGAAACGCGGTCAGAGGGAGACTCGGGAATCGCCGCGTTTAGGCAAAGCTTTCAGGAAACCCATTTCCTGCCTGTCGCTGACATCTTTTATGAAAAATCCTTTCTTTAGGTTTATCCTCTGCAATGGTTTATCCTTTGCATTTAAGAGAGCAATTTCTTGTTTTGTTAGTATCTGGAGCAGTAGATAGCTTCGGTAGAGGCCACTAAGGAGCTGGCAAAAAGGACACAGCTGGCAAAGAGGACACATCCTTTCTTTAGGATTTTTCCTCTTGAGAAGCTGAGAAGCTTCAGGAACAAAATGCAAACATTGATTATCTGCTGCTGTAGAATGCAACAAGTAGATTTTTGATTGGCCTATGTTAGTTGTTTGTAATTAATAGCCAATCACAGCTTAGCTAGCTCGGACAGAGAGTCCGAGCCACAAACTTTTGTTATCATTCTTTTTTATTCTGTTCTTAGCTAGCTTCCTGAAGAAATCTTTTCTTCTGTTCTTTTAGTGTAGTTTTAATGTAATCTATATCATAAAATAATAAATCAAGCCTTCTGAAACATAGAATCACATCCTCATCTCTTCCCTCAACCTGACACCCCTGCAAACACAGTCACACCTGCCCTTCTGCTGCTTTTTGCACTGTTTGTAAGAGTCCCAAAGTATTCAGTCCCTGCTTTATTCAGGCAACTATCAGTGATCATCCTCTTTCTGCTATTTTGGGGTTGTTCTTTATCTTAGGATTAAAAATTAAAACGAGGCACTGACAGGTTATGGCTTGTTCGAGTCAGAGTGCCCAGAGCTTTGGTTTTCAGGGCCTGACATCAGCAGCCAAGGGAAGGAATGATTTCCTTTACAATAAAATGGTTTATCCTCTGCATTTAAGGTTTTCCTAACAGAGCAACATCTTGTTTTGCTAATATCTGGAGTAGTAGATAGCTTCAGTAGAGGCCACTAAGGAGCTGGCAAAAAGGACACAGAGTTTCTCCCTGACCTCCTGAAAATGACAAATTTAAATAATGCAGAATTTGAAGGAATTTTGATCAGGTCCCTTGTGTTTAGTGACAGTTTGGTAAGGACCTGAGGGTCACCTGCACCTGTTACACACCTGAACTGGTGTGGTGTGCTGAGATACCTTCACAATCTGGTCACACCTTGTGAAGCTGAAATTAAAGCAATTACATTTATCATTCAATGCTGATACCAAATCATGTATGTTTGATATAGCTTTCTACCAAATTCTACATCTCATAACTGGATAGCCAAAGTGACAATTCCAGAATATACCTGTGGTAATAACAGACACAAACTACTTCCAGTTTATATTATTTGAAATAATCAAGAGCCAGTGGTGTAATTCTGGGAAACACTGAGAGAACTTCTCCCTTAAGATAAGACAGTTATCTGCTCGTAGAAAAGCAAAAATTAATGAGTGGAAATGCAACAGGACTTTCTGTGCAACAGTACTGTACCTCAGCATCTTCAACCAGGGTCACAACTCTTCCAGGCTAAAATTTAAAAGACGAAATCATCAATCAGTCAGAGGCTTTTGCCTTAAATCATGAGCAAAATCAAACCAAAACGAGAAAAAACCAAGGAACAGGAATGAAATGCTCAGAGAATTAATCCAGCACAATTCCAGTAAGGTCCAGATCCAGTGTAAGTATTTTTGGGGAGTAGCTTTGGATGTGTATTAAATAAAATAAACATGTTAAATTCTGGGTTAACACAAAAATAAAGGCAGTCAGAAATTGGGAGGGTTTCAATGTCCTTGCTTTACATGTGCAGTCCAGACTCAATTCCACTGCAACTTAAAAGTGACAATTAATTAGCAATACAATAACAGTGCTAATTAAGAGTTTCACTAATGTAAAACTATCCTCAAGGAGCCCTTGGAGCCTCACTGGATGGAGGGAGGATACCTTGCAAATGGCTTGTTTTCCCCAGGAAATTAATTCCTGTAGGAAAAAGTAAGAAGCCAGTTTGTAAATACTGGAAATAAAATAGTTGAAGTTTGTTGTATAAAACTTTAAAACATAAAACTCTGTGTTGAACTACATCTGCAGTTTAAAATTGCTGCTTTTGGCATCAAATTAGTTCTCTCCCAGCATGAGCAATTTATTCCTGACCTGACTGATAAAATAAGGCAATAAAGCTACATGAACACTAAATGACTCCTATTTCCTGAGCAGAAATGAGTCTGTTCCCATGAAACACCAAAGATAACTTCAGTGTTCCTTTTGGAATATTTTTTCCATAGTCTTTGATAGTTCTCTGACTTGTGCACTCGCAATGGGTCACGAAGATTTTTGTGAATTATGGATTAAAGAGACATTCTGTGGTGGATGGAAATCAACTTTCTTGTCCTTGCTAGGAATGTCTGTAACTGTAGCCTAAATTAATTAAATTTCATTCAAATCTGATTTGATTTAATATGAAGCGCAGTACTGAGGAGAACTTCATGTTCAGGTGGGCTGTGTGAAGGAAGAAGGATCTGTTTGCCTCAGGAAGGGCAGCATATTTACTTAATTGCTTGCAGAATCCTTGTCTTGCCTGGAACTACCCAAAACAAACATAAAGAAACAAATTACTGAATACTTATTGATCAGAGGAATTAAGTACTGTTTGTACTACTCGGAAAAATCCTCTGAAAATATTTTTAAAACACAGCTGACAAGAAATTTGCCGTGTATTTGTAAGTCGCTGTTCTTTACTGTGTGTCAGTGGTGGCTCAAGCTGTGTTCTTTGAGCTCTGTGCAAGTTATTTTATGGTGTTTGATATTCTAATGAGTGTTGTTTCATCTGGAACCTTCCAAGAAACAAGACGTGTTTTTTAAAATAATCCTGATGCTTTTTCTCTCTTAAAGCCGCCTCAGGTTTACAGTAGAGTTACCTGGGTGCAAGGTTATACCTTACCCCCGTGGCTTAAAAAAACATGACATTGGGAATTTTAGTTTCCTTTTCTCGCTGTTTTTTTTTTTCCTCCTTTTCCAAACAGCGAAGAATTTTAGAACTCCAAATATTTCCTAATCCATGAGAGTAAAATAAATCAAAACACAGCCGGGGGTTACTTGGATCAATAATTCTGGCTTGTCCTATTCCCTGTCCACAGCCTGACACCCGCTCCTCACCGAGGGCATTTAACACCCTGAATGACAAATGTGGCATTTCGGAGCCCTGTTTAAAGCGGGTTGTGTTTGTTGTTGGTGTGTTTGTTGTTGGCGTGTTTGCTGTGCAGCCCTTG